TATATATATATATATATATATATATATATATATATATAAAATCTTTATTTGTTCTCTTGTGACTAATTAAACTCTTAATGAATAATTGATGTATGTGTTATTTAATTAAATTTTTGGGTGAATATGTTATTTAATTATATTTGATTTAATATTCTTGGTTTTGTATGCTGAAGGTAAATTTGAACTTCTTTCCAGATTTTACCAGTCGATTTGTGTGAAACTCTTCAAAGAGATCCAAGAAGAGCTAAACTTCTAGAGGTGATAATTTTCTGATCTAGTGAGTCTTGGTTTAAATTAAATTTTCCTTTGGATTTAATTCTTTTCGCCCTTGCTTCATTGACTTGGTTCTGTTATTTGCTATATTATTTATTCATTTTTTGTTCATTTATTTTACATTTGAGAAGAGTTACCCATTATCTGAAAGAGCCATAACTCAACGGTAAAGCAATGTGCTTTTCGTTATTGTTATTTTTCTTTTTCTTTTTTTTTGGTTATTCATTGCTATTCTTGATTATGTGCCTTATCTATTGGTATAAAACAATCCATTGAATGTTGGGCCAACATTTCTATCAATGTGATGATCCTCTAATGCCTTTCTTGAAAATCGGTACATGTCTTTAAACTACAATGTTATCCATTGCAAGGTAAGATCTAGACATTGAGCTGAAAAAGCATTTTCTAGGCTATATACTGAGTAATATGTGGTTTAACTATGCAAAGAGGATTATGGAAGTACACCTTGCGCTTTTCATATTTATGTTATATTATTAAATTACTTCTTCATGTGGGTAACTGTTGAGTATATTAACTATGAGAAATGATCCTATAGGACCCTCTCCCACCCATGTATGTAGGACCCCCAAAAGATCACCATTAAAGTTTGTACGGATCTCTAGAAAATTCAAATCCCACACCCATGTGATAGCTTTTTTAAAGATTTGTACCAACTTTAATGGTGATCCTTTGGGGTCCTACACACATGCGTGGGGGAGGGTCCTATAAGATCACTACTCATTAACTATTGGGAAAGCTTCCTACAATATAGAAGTTCTATCCTCCCCCTACCATCCAGCCGCCATTTTTTATCAAGAGAGCCACTCACTGTTTGTTCCCAATGCAAGAAAAATGCTTAAAGTTACTGATAGACCTAAAACTCTTTCAGAAAGATTGAGGCAAGGACCAAACGAAAATGAAGAGCAATTCTGATTTGTTGGGACCAACTTATACAATGTGGGTTGTAGGAACTGTAGGTCCTATTCCCTTATGCCATGTTAAGCTTTAAGCCAACAGCTCTTTAAAGGGTTCATTATGGTACAGATACAAATGAAATAATTTAAAAATAAAACAGTGATTAAAATGCCCCTAGGGACCTTTGCATATCTGTATATTGCTACAACATATTGTATCAAAGGTTAGACATCCTCCTCTACTGATAATATCTGTTGTTTGATGGCAGGTTATATTGGACCTAGGTCGTTACCCCGAGGCCCGTTTTCTTGGTGAATGTGGGGGTCAGTATTTGCGCAATACCGAGGTAGGTAGTAATAAATAGTAAATAAATTTCCCATTTTTATTGAACACATTGATACATGGAAACTGAAGGTTTGCTTTGTGTACTATGTGAGAAATTTGAACTTGGAGATGCTTTTTGTTAAGGTGTCCATATCAAGTAAATAGGTGTCAAATAATGGTAATCTGCCCATGCTTTGTCTTAAACTTGATAGAACTTTTTATGACCCTCGATACCTTGTATTGTTAAATCTGATGTTATCAATTAAATATTCTCCTAAGGCATAATAGTGGTAGCAAATTTAAATGTTGCTCTACCATAACCATATATGATCTAGTAAACTATTTAATTTATGTTATATAGCCTTTAAATGAAGTGTGGTGTTTTATTTGCTTCATACAAACACACACACACACACACACACACACATCTCTTTTAACTGGTGCACAGTAGCAATTGAAAATGTTTTAAACTTCCACATAAGCCAAGATATCCAGAAGATGACCTTGTTATAATTAATGTAATTGATTGCTCAACAACTTCTGGTGCATTGAGATTTATGACCCTGGGTAATCACTTTAAAAGATGAGCCTCATAATCTATTACACAAATTTGTTTTATGTCCCTATTAAAGTGGGTGTAAGGAGATCAGCCATGGAAATTCCATTTTTATCTCTTATCCAGAGAATGCATCTTACTTAGAAGCCAAAAGTATGTGTGGCTCTCTACGCCTCTTTCTCAATGACCTTCATCATGCTACATTTTGGACCTATCCAATTCTTCGCAATGCTGGAAATACAACTATTATTTTTCTTTTATTTCTCTAAATTGAATAGGTATCAAAAAAGGAGTTGGAGGAAGCTCAGAATGCTGTTGGTGAATTTGGAGAGGATAATAGGGCAGGCATTGAGGGTACCCTGCATAGAATATCTGCTATACGTAGTAGGAAGGGCATAATAGTTGGCTTGACTTGCAGAGTTGGCCGAGCAGTTACTGGTCACGTTCAAATGGTACGCGATCTTTTGCATTATGGAGAGAGCATCTTGTTCCTAGGAAGGTAAATTTTTTGTCTGCCAAAACCATGATAACACGTTATATTGGGGAAGCATGCAATATAGCCGAATGATCCAACCATTGTTCATTAAGATCATGTCCTGCTCTGGCAGTCTTATTTTGTCTTCATCACCATCCGTCATTTCAGTGGATGGTTATGACCCAACCATTGTTCATTAGCAGAATATGGTTTTCCATAGCCTATTTGATTATGATAAGTTTTTCATTTTATATATGTTGAAGTGGGGTTGTAAGATGAAATTTGCTCCTAGTTTCTTGTTTTATCAGGCCGGGAGTAGGAAAGACTACGGTCATGCGAGAGATTGCACGTGTCTTGGCTGATGAATTGCAAAAAAGAGTGGTGCGCTAATCAATCTTATATCTTAGTTCTTTTCAATGTTTTTCATAGCAGCTTCACCTCATATTCCACTGTAGACCCTACTGATAATCAAGATGGGAAGCTAGACCATAATCCAATGGAGTATGGTATACAGCACTCCAGAAGGGGCATCCACCATCCTTTCTTGATGATGGACAGTGGGGATTAATCACTGTGGAGCCCTGGTACAATTAATCTCTGCCGTCCATCTATTGGATTGGATAATAATTCTCTTTTGGGCACTGTATGCTGTACTCCATTAGATTATGATGTAGTTTCGCTATGAGATACAAGTATGGTGTACTCCATTAGAGTATGGTGTATGGAACAGGTGATTGTAGACACTAGCAATGAGATAGGTGGGGATGGGGATGTACCCCATGCAGCAATAGGGGGAGCTCGAAGAATGCAGGTCCCAAAACCCTCAATGCAACATAGAGTTATGATTGAAGCAGTGGAGAATCACATGCCTGAAGTGGTCATTGTTGATGAAATTGGCACTGAAGCAGAGGCAATTGCATGTCGCTCAATTGCAGAGAGAGGAGTGATGCTTATTGGTACGGCCCATGGAGAAAGGCTAGAAAATATAATCAAGAACCCAACTCTTTCTGATTTGGTTTGTCTCTTTCCCTCTCTTATGGCTTGAAAATTTCCAAAGAGGTTTTTTTCCATGAAAATGTTGCAAATGGTTTTGCTTTTTGCTATTCCACTTTTAAAGGATCTGGTATTCTTAATCATTTGGTACTTTCCAAATTTTGTTGCCTGAATGTTTTGAAACCTTGACAATTGAAACCTGCTTTATCTTTTGTTTTTATTTGGTTCTTGCTCATGTTTATCTAGGTCGGGGGCCTAGAGAATGTCACCTTGGGAGACGATGAAGCCCGGGCTAGGGGTTCTCAAAAAAGCATTCTTGAAAGGAAAGCCCCTCCGACTTTTCCGTTCTTGATTGAAATGAGGGAGAGGAACTATTGGGTTGCACATCGGGTACATTTAATTCCTCAATGTTGTAACATTATTAGTATTGTTCTTGATATTATTATTCGTATTGCTATTGTTTTGGCCCCATTGTTGGCCAAATCAAAGAACTGCCTTGATCCATAGTGCCAACCTTTCTTGGGTAAAACAGTTTGTGGATTATTAAAATTGTGGTTGTCTGAATTTTTTTTTCTCATCATCATCATTGTTATTATTAGTATTAGAAAATTTGAATTGTAGGAGGGTAATGACAAAATGACCATGACTGCAAGTCTTAACTTGTAAGTAGCTATTTGACCCAGAGTATCACTTTATGCAGACGGAAAGAAGTGTTGATGCTTTACTCCATGGCGAAAAGCCTCTTGTGGAGGTAAGTTGGACTGTTTTGATGTTTGTCTCAAAATGTGCAGGACTTGGGATATTCACGATGTTCAATTTACGAAGGACCTATTCTAGTGGGTTTGTCTAAATGATGGAGTCATAAGAAATGATCATCAACCTTCTGTTCCAAGAGTTACTTGAAAGCAATTATAATTTGGATGTGGCCTCATCAAGGGTCTGCCTTCAAATGTCTCTCTCTCTCTCTCTCTCTCTCTCTCTCTCTCTCTCTCTAACGCACACACACATACAGATATGGAAAATAGTTTTATGTAATTAAAAAATTACAAAAGATAAAAGAATGTAAAGGCTCCCCATGAAAGCGTTTGACTGAACCCCAGGATTTCTAGTATGGCTGAAGCATCATTTGTGTGGTTTGGAGGTATTAGTTGCTCTCTGCAGTGCCTGTGGAAGTGGAGTTTCTAACCTTAAACACTATTGCTTCTTATTCTTTACAAAAATGAAAAAATGCTAATTGCTTTTGCAGGTGAGAAAGAGGGATGAGAACTTTAAGGTTGTTATTGAAAGATGGAAACCATATGATGGTGAGGGTATCTAACCCTCATTGCATTTATTTGCAATGAGCAGGCTTGTAATAAGACTCTATCACTGTTTCTCTCTGAGCAGTCAAATGTGCTCTCTCCAGGTATGTCCATATTAAAATACGTTTGAATTTACTGTGGATATACATGTGCTTATTGTGTTTCAAACTTCTTCTCGTTAGAAATCTATTTTCCCTTCATATATGTGTTTATAGTTTGAAATTTAGGGAGCATAGTTAGCCATAGAAAAGGATAGGTGCTTAGCCCATGGAAGAAAATGTCAAGACACAGTTTTAGATTCTGGAAAACTCAAAGAGCATTCGAGGGCTACTACTCTGAACCATAAGCAATAGAAACACTTGCACATGCGCATGCATGTGCTGCACACGCATACATGTATATTTCTAATGTAAGCACTGGGTGTTCAAGTTTTAAACATGAGTGAGGAACACAATCAACACATATTTTGTGTGTCCAATTGGTACATTTGGTTGTAACGATACCTAATGAATCCAATATTTTAGGCACCCCACCATGCTATTTTATTTACATATTAATCAGTTAAATCTGTGGATTTCTTTTGGGTAGTTCATGTAAAGAGCATGAATCCTTAATATGTGTGTTAAAACTCTGTTGATTTTTTAATGTGTTCTTGCGTTTTCGGACTGTTTATCAGTGAATGTGTACTTACGCTTTCAGACCTTTTTTTTTTTTTCCAAATTTGAATTTCCATTTTATTAGGTGGTACACTTGCAAAACGATAATTTCGGCTCACTATAGATGTGTTAATTCAGTGAAGCATGAAGGCATACTTGTGATGACCAAGATGGTGTAGAGGTTACCTCCTGCTTTATCTTGAAGTTCTACTAGTAACATTGTGTCTATTACAACCAGGAATTAACAAGAATGTGTTATTTTAGAGTGCATGATTAATGCTGGGTGTAGCATATTATTCGATTATATGACTTTCTCTAGAGTAATATATTTCCATTTGGAATGGTTCAAATTCTTAGCCGACCGCACATTGCTTGTACTATCACGTGTTTCAAGGTGTTAATTTTTTTTTTTGAAATAAAGGATAAAGCAAAAGATTAAAGCCCATAAGCAAGATCAAACTACACCATTTCAAATAAAGGGTAAACGAGTACATAGACCAAGCGCTTGCCTCGATGTAATCTTGGAGCAGTCCTAGGCTCGGTTAGGCCTGGCGCTTTGGCCAGAGAGAAGGTAGGGAACAACTCCCATCTAAGGGGTCGAAACCTTAGTGGATAATAATGGTTTGGCCCAATGGTTTAAAAAACGGATCGGTGATCCGGATCGGGCTTTCAAAAAACCGATCTGGATCAGCGAATCAGCGATCCGGATCGAAAATTGGGTGAATCGGTAGGAATAAAGCTTCAAAAAAATTCGAAAAAATTATTAAAATTTATTATAAATATTGTTTTTTAGGAATTCAATAAGAAATGAGGGTACTCCATTAAAAATTTTCATGTTTTTGAATGAATATGCAAATATTGATATGTTCTTTCCCTGCATGAACCGCCATTCAACATTTAATTTACATCACACAAAAGGATAAACATAGAATTATCATGGAATAAGTATATCAACATACATGGACTACAATAAAGCATAAAATTAGTAACATACGATCTAAAAATAAAATGATAGACGACGTTGTTGTTCTTCTTGGTCACGTTGGTGCCATTGATTGAATTCGTTTGACAATTCATTGATTAGATCTAAAAACGATTTATCGATATTAGCGGGCGTCTGACTATTCCCAAATCCCTGAGTGTTAGTGTTTTGTTGTGTTCCCAATCCAAAATCCCCGAAGCTTGTCTATCCTTCATGCTCACCTGCACTGTCATGCTCACCTACACTGTTGCTGTTGGGACTCGATATGTGAATAATATGGCTGGGATAGGGTGGCCTCAGAATCATCATCTCTCTCATTTTCTCTTAGACCCCCCTCTCACTCTCCTTCATTAAGTGTAATATCACCGACATATTGTGGATACATTGGCTGGCTGCTTCCTCTTTCATGCCGATCATCACTTTTTTCAATATTTTCATCACCGATAGCCTCAAGGAACGCTCTCTTGTGCAACACTGGCTCTTCCTCTTCTACTACCCATTGGTCTGCTGTGTCTATGACAAATATTGTGTCTAAGTCTATCGGTCCATAGTCTTCAAGCTTCCTTCGTATTTGTCGCTCTCTGAGGTTTAAATTATAATGAACGTAGACTAGTTTATGAAGCTTCTCAGAAGCGAGTCGATTCCTCCTAGTAGTGTGCAACCATTGGAACGTACTCCAGTTGCGCTCACAGCCAGTAGCAGAACATGTCTGGGAGAGCACCTTGATTGCTATCCTCTTTAGGTGAGGTGCATCAGTACCATATATCTCCCACCATTCAGCTGGATTAAAATGTAAAAAGTATTGTAAGGGCAAGAACAATTCATAAGATTAAATATATGAATAAACAAAATATTAGCGAGGGGATAACCTGGATCCATCATAGTTCGAGAATTTCTGGCAAGTCTAGTTCTGAAGGATCCTATAGCATCCCTATACATAGCAAGCTAAAACAAATATATTACGTTTTAGTGCATTATTCCTCACAAATATAACAACTCAATGAAGTTCTTACCCAAAAATTAAATAATACCTCTTGTATTGCTGCTACTTGGTTTTGATGGCTTCTCTCCAACCTTACAATAATGTATCTGACCCTTCCATAATCTTGTGAGGTTGTTCAGGTGTCAAATAGAAAAATTTTGGGTTGAAGTAGTAACTTAAAAAATATATAGGTAGAAAAATGTCATTTACAATTTCATAAAAAAATGATTTAAACTGAAACATTGTAATGATATAAATAGATATTTACCAGCATAATGAATTGGACGTCCAAATTTGGTGTTCCACCTCTTTTCTATAATCTCGATCACTTTGCTAGCAAAATTACACTTCTTCCCAATAGCTGATTTCGCCCTCTCAATACCTTCATAAAGGATACCCATGGTAGCTTTCTTATCAGCATCCACCATTCTTAACAACGTGACTAAAGGGGCAGTGGCCTCTACAACACTGGAACATCGAGACCAGAACAACCTATTTGAGATTATGTTATCCACTTTTATACCGGTACTGGACTTCGA